AAAATAGAATATCTAAAAAGAAATAGGCAATGGCTGTAGAAATAGTAGGAGACAATGTTGTATCTGGCATTGCATCAAAAGTTACAGAGTTCATGTATGATTTCATTGGACGGTATATATCTTATGTGTTCAACTACCAAAGCCACATCTGCGACTCCATTTTCCTCAAGATGTCTTGAAATTTGGTTGTACGGAGCACCCCTTGATTGCACATTTATCTTGTTACTTTACTGTTTGGATTTGTTTTATGCATTTTTATTTCTCAAGATATTTGGATTAGTCAGTGACAATTCACTTCTTACATTCCTTAAATCACAGAACAAATTGTATAAAAACTGAACTTCAGCTATAAACAAACTCAGCCACACTTTTCAGAACTGTCTTCAGTAAAATGTTCTGTTTTCTCTGTTTCTCTCATTATTTTTTTGTCTTTCACACTTTTGTTTCTAACATGAAAGATAAATCTGCTGAATTCAAGAAGAAGCCAAATCCTGAGTATGGTTGCCGATAAAGATTTGAAAGTTGCTTGCTTTCTTTGTTCTCAAAATCTATGTTTAGTCATTTATCTAAATTTCAATTTTCACCGGAAATCTAGACAAATTTAGTGAGAACTTTTGTTTCTGAATTGAAAGTGAGGACTATGCATACTAAGAGTTTGTTTCAAATCAGAATTCTAAGTATTAGTGATTACAGGTTTAAGATGAAAGAAATAGCTGATAGTCCATCCTGGCCAAGAAATCAATGGTGAAGAGTTGTAAGTGTACAGGTTGGATGTTTAGGGCCTGAATTTGTTGCAGTAGCAGTCAATCTCACCTCTAGAATCAGTACTGTCTCTAAGCTAGAACCTAAGTTTTTACTGCAGAATTATGAGGTTATGTTAGATTAGAGAGAAATTCTACTCCTATGATGTTTTGATTTGTCTGCTAACACTGATTATAACTAATTAATCTGCTGATAATTCTAAATTTTTAAAGTTATTCTGTTATTGATCATTGTTTTCATAACAAAGATTGTCATACCGAAAAAAATGTATTTTAGTTTTATGAAGTTAAACTCTTTGGACACCAAGCAGATATCTACTAATTATTAAAAATTCTAGTTGGTTTTTTGTGTTTTTGTTGGACAGGTAGCGCTTCTTCTAACAAGAAATGGAGCAGGATTTGGATGTGGAATGCAATGATACCCTCTGCCTGAGGGAGCCTTAATTAGAAGATTTAGACCAACATCTGTAGATGCCACGAAGTCTATGCTTGATCTTGAATGACAAATTTTTGGAGTTAGTTTTGCAGAGTTAGACTTTAAATGTTATTTTTGGTAAGAGAAGTCAACATTATTGTTGCATTGTAGTTGAAGTTTTTAGTTGGTTTCTATCTCCAAATGTCTTTGTGACTCCTAGTTGTTGGCCTCCTACAGTTGCAAATTATTGAAGGTTTCTGCTATTTCTTTCTGAAATTTTTTTAAAGGTGTTGATGGTCAAATGTTGAATTGTTTTGCTGCTGGAGAGTTATGGGACTGTCTGTGAAATTTTGTTTAAGCCTTTTCAAAGGTTATGATTTGCAAACTGTTAGTGTTCTTGTGCTGGAGTTTAACTAAGAAAAGAATGGGAGCATGATCCGAATGAAGAAAAGTGTCTGTATTTTCTTGAGTTCAAAATGAGATTACACTTCAACTAATAAAGCAGATTTTACACCGTTACACCAACTATGCAGACATAAAATAACTTGATTTAATCTGAATCTAGTGACTTAATACCAACTAAACAACAACTATGTAACACATCCCATATAATCCAAGACACATCAAGCATTACAAAATAAGTGAAAATTTGCAGTATTACAAATGGACCCCTGGCAGATTGCCTTTCAGTTTTACCGCCAAAAACATATTTGAAGCACCAGTTGAACTGCTGCATTTCCAGCCAAGTATCAACCTTCAACACTCCTCCTTGATGGTTGGCTGGAAACACCAAGTCTGAATCTGAATTCTTCAAACTTGGCTTTGGAGACAGCCTTGGTCATGATGTCAGCCACTTGAAGTTCACTCTTGCAATGCATGAGATTTACTTCACCATTTTGCTCAGCTTCTCTCACGGCATGGAACTTAATTTTTATATGTTTTGTTCGTCCATGCTGCATAGGATTCTTGGCCATAGCTACTGCAGACTGGTTGTCACACATGATAGCAGTAGCCTTGTTCTGTTTCAGCTTCAAGTCATCAAGAATTTTCCTTAACAAAATGGCTTGATTCACAGCTGCAGCAGCTAATATGTACTCTGCTTCAGCTGTGGATTGAGCCACAGTTTCCTGTTTCCTAGAAAGCCAGTAGATAGCACCATAATTCAGGAAGAATGCAAAACCTGAAGTGCTCCTCATATCATCTGCTGAACCAGCCCAATCACTGTCTGAATAACCAATCAAACTGAAGTTCTCTGATCTCTTGAACCACACCCCATAGTCAGTGCTTCCTCTCACATACCTCAGTACCCTTTTTGCTATTTTGAAGTGTGTTTCAGTTGGATTACTCATAAATCTGGACAGCAGACTGGTTGCATACATTAAATCTAGCCTAGTTGCTGTCAAATACAGTAGACATCCTATTAAACTCCTATACAAACCTTCATCAACCTTCTCACCATCCTCATTCTTTAACAGTTTCAAATTTGGAACTAAAAGCAGATTTACTAGTTTGCAGTTTTCCATGCAAAACTTCTTTAAAACTTCACTTGCATATCTTCTTTGGTTCACAAAGATCACATCCACATGTTGATCAATCTCCATTCCAAGGAAGTAAGACATTCCACCCAAGTCAGTCATTTCAAACTCACTTTGCATGGATTTCTTGAATTCATCCACTTGAGTTTGATTGCTTCCAATAACTAGAAGATCATCCACATATAGAGAAATAATCATCAAGTCATCTTTAGCTTCTCTTATGTATAGTGTGTATTCATTTGGACTCCTAACAAAATTCATATTTAGCATGTTGTCATTAATCCTGCTGTACCAGGCCCTTGGAGCCTGTTTTAGGCCATACAAGGCCTTCCTCAACATATACACCTTTCCCTCTTGTCCTTGGATCACGTATCCTTCATGTTGTTCGATGTAGATCTCCTCATTCAACCAGCCATTCAAGAAGGCGGATTTTACATCCAATTGGTGAACTTTCCAAGAGAATTGGGCAGCCACTGCAAGCAGCAGCCTAATGGTATCATGCCGTGCAACTGGAGCAAATGTCTCTAGGAAATCCACTCCATATTGCTGAGCAAATCCCTTAACTACAAGCCTGGCCTTATGCTTCAGAATTGACCCATCTGGATTTAGTTTTTTTCTGAAAATCCACTTCACTTGGATAACTTTTCTGTTTTCTGGTCTATCCACCAACTTCCAAGTTTGGTTTTTTTCAATCATGGCCAACTCCTCCTTCATGGCACTCCTCCAGGATTCTGATTGTGCAGCCTCTAAATAGCTTGTAGGTTCCATTTGAGCTACGTTGCACCTGTCATACACATCAGCAAGTGTTCTGGTTCCCCTGACAGCAACTTCTTCTTCTGATTCCTCCCCTGAGTCTTCCTCAGTTTGTTCAAGTTGAACCTCATTCAGTTGAGGTTGAACATCTACCTCAGCTCTACCCTTTTCCCAGTTCCAGACTCCTCTTTCATCAACCTTAACATCCCTGGACACCACAACCTTTCTTGAGTCAGGAATATAGAGTCCGTAGGCCTTGGATTGGCTGCTGTAGCCAATGAAAACTCCTGTCACAGCCTTATCCTCCAGTTTAGTCCTCTTGGCAGGTGGCATTAGGACATAGCAAAGGCTTCCAAAAATTTTCAGTTCATCCACTGTTGGTTTGATTCCAGTCCAAGCTTCAAAAGGTGGTTGGTTTTTTAAGGCTTTGGTGGGAATCCTATTAAGTAAGTAAACACTTGTGTTTGCTGCTTCTGCCCAAAATGGTTTGGGAAGATTTTTCTCAGCCATTAAGCATCTTGCCATTTCCATGACTGTCCTGTTTTTTCTCTCACAAACTCCATTCTGTTGTGGGGTGTATAGGCTGCTGTATTCATGCCTTATTCTAGCTTCAGTGCAGATTTTTTCAAACTCTTGAGAGGTGTATTCAGTGCCATTATCACTTCTCAAGGTTTTAATTGATTTTTCAGTCAAATTCTCTACTTCAAGTTTGAATTTCCTGAATGTTCCAGCCACCTCACTTTTCTGTTTTAGGAAGTAAATCCACCCTATCCTAGACCAATCATCTATGAACAATACAAAGTATTTGCTCCCATTAAGTGATAAGGTTTGCATAGGCCCACATACATCCGAGTGAACAACCTGAAGTCTTTCAGAGGCTCTCCAAGCTTGGTTCACTGGGAATGGTTTCCTACTCATTTTGCCTAGTTGACACACTTTGCACACACCTCTCGGCTGCTCAACAATAGGCAGATTCTGGACTAAGTTTTTTGTCTGCATTTCAGTCAAGTTTCTATAGTGTACATGGCCTAATCTTTTGTGCCACATTTCGGTTTCATCCTCTCTAACATTGCATGTTGTGTTTGGAGCAACTTTCCACATTATTGGGAAACTTTTCCCTACCATTTTCACTCTCAAAATCTCATTACCCTCACTGTCTTGAATAATGCAGGATTGGTTTTTAAAATGCAGTGCATAGTTCCTTTCCAGTATTTGTCCCACACTCAAAAGACTTTAACTTATATTTGGTGCATAAAGTACATTTGAGATTAGTTTTGTACCTTTTGGAGTTTGGATTACTACATCTCCTTTGCCTCTTGCTTCCATACATTCTCCATTCCCAACTTTAATCCTTGACCGATGAGAGTGATCCATGTTTACAAAGCAGCTCAAATCATTTGTCATGTGATGTGTGCACTTACTGTCAATCAGCCATGTATCATCACAGGTTTGGACCAGGTTAGATAAGGCCACAAATAGCTGCTCTGTCTCCTGCACAGGCTGTTGTTCATCAGCTTTTTGAGCTTGCTGTTGGGGCTACTCTCCCTTGTTTCTACATACTTTTTCAATATGCCCAAACTGTTTACAAGCCCTACACTGTATACCAGGTCTGAAGTAGCATTTATACTCTGCATGTCCCTTCTTTTTGCAATGAGAACAAGCTGGAAAATTTCGCATCCCACCAGCTTTGTTCCATTGGTTGTTTGACCTTTCTTTTCCTCTCTTTTCTCCAGTAGCTTTTCTATAATTTCCTTGCATAGATTTGCCCTTGTAGGTTGCCAGCATCGCTCCTTCATTTGCATCTTCAAGCCTTAGGAGCCTTCTTTGCTCTTGTGCCTGTAGAGCATGGACCAGCTCAGTCATTGTGATCTGAGTCAGGTCCTTTGAGTCCTCCAAGGATGAGATCTTAGCTTCAAACCTTTCCGGCAGGCTCACCATCACCTTTTCCACAATCTTGCTGCCTGGCATCTGCACTCCAAGTAGTTTGATTTTGTTGACAATGTTCATTAACCTATCAACATATTCTTTCACCTTCTCAGCCTCTTGCATCCTTAAAGTTTCGAACTCCCTTCTCAAATTCAAAACCTGCATGTTCCTTCTAGTGTCACTTCCCATGAACTCTTTTCTCAACTTGTCCCATGATTCCTTAGTAGTTTCGCATGCCATAATCCTTGTAAAAACAAGGTCTGTGATTGCTGAGTGGATGTGGGACAAGGCTCTTGGAGCTCTTGATGCTTCCTCTTCATGCATTCGGATTTGATTGAGGGTAGGATTTGGTCCCAACTGAGGGGGTTGTCTCTCTTCCTCTACATACTGCCAGAGTCCTTGGCCCCTCAGGTAAGCCTTCATTTTAACTGACCAAATATGGTAGTGTTCACCGTTGAACACAGGAGGTAGAAGAGAAGCTGTTGGGGTAGTCATTTGCTCAAGAGAACACAGGTCTGATGCAAGGCAGTTTCCCGGTGGGCTGGATGAGTTGTTTGGAGAAGAAAATGTTCAGTTTTTTGTTGGAATCAACCAAGCTCTAATACCATGTTAGTGTTTTTGTGCTAGAGTTTAACTAAGAAAAGAATGGGAGCATGATCCGAATGAAGAAAAGTGCTTGTATTTTCTTAAGTTCAAAATGAGATTACACTTCAACTAATAAAGCAGATTTTACACTGTTACACCAACTATGCAGACATAAAATAACTTGATTTAATCTGAATCTACTGACTTAATACCAACTAAACAACAACTATGTAACACATCCCATATACTCCAGGACACATCAAGCATTACAAAATAAGTGAAAATTTGCAGTATTACAAATGGACCCCTAGTAGATTGCCTTTCAGTTTTATCGCCAAAAACATATTTGAAACACTAGTTGAACTGCTGTATTTCCAGCCAAGTATCAACCTTCAACACAAACCTATAGGCATCGTTTGTAGTTTTTTTTTTTTTTTTTTCCAGAAAAAGAGTTGCTAATATTGAAACTGATGTTATTGTTGATCAGTTCATGATATTGATGTGGAGACTTGAAGGAAGCTGTGATTTCAGAGGTATTTTTTTTTTCTTTGAAAGCCTTGTTTCTGTAGCTAATTTTCATTTTCTACGTTAAAATTTTCAACTGTTTTCATTTCTAACAATGGCCTAAATACTTTAGACATTGATCAGCTATCAAATATTTCTAAAAATCCAGTTGGTTGTGTTTGGTAGATAGGTGCTCTTCTTCTAATAAGACATGGCGCTCCATTTTGATTTGAGAGGGAATGATACACTCCCTTAGAATTGTCTCGGTAAGCCACAACAGGGTTCCCATAGCTTCACCTCCCTTAAAGAGCTTTATGTGACACAACTTCCAGATCTTGTTTCTTTCCAGATGGCTTCTCTCCATCTTGAGCAAAGTTAAAATTAGCAAATGTCAGGCCATAACATCTTTACTATCTTGTAATTGGTGGGGCTTCAATATCCTTTCCAAAACAAGATATTACCACCAATCTAATATCACATTTTATTGACTATCAATTTTTTTTTTTTTTTTTTCAAGTAAAAAAAAGCCATGTCTATATGGTCTTTTTCAAACTAAACTCCATCCTAACTGCAAAAAACCTTTTAGATTTGCTAGAAGTAGTATGGGATAAGGAATTGAGTTCGAGGACAGATGTTTATTAAGTTCTTCTACAACCTTCTGTCAACTCGGCTAACAAACGAAATTGTTTGATGTCGATCAAGGGTATATATGTAATTTTGTTTGCTGTCCATGATTTAAAACAAAAAGTAAAACCAAAGAAACTTTTGTCATTATCTTCATTAAAGAATTATTTTCTCCTTGTAAAAAAGATATTCATCCCCTGAGAAGCTATAGAGGCAGAAAAAGAGACAATATCATGAATAAAGTTTTTCTCGTTTTTGATAAACTCATCATAAACAATTTGCTACTGAAAATTCTCCTCTCATCATTCTTTTGCTACTTGTTTCTTTAAAAAAAAAAATCCTACCGAAAGTGATTAGAGAAGAAGGCAAGTTGCTTTTCAGGCTTTGTACTTGGTTTTTGATGTTGGATTGAAGTTCTACTTTTCATTTGGATATAAATAAATGGTGTGATTTAGATATATGCGTTGTATGTGAAGTTCTTTGAAGATATGAATCAACATATAAAGTGTTTGATAAAATGACTAAGAGAGCAAACGCATTATTGATTAAGTAAAAGGATTTCACTGAATGGGGTTGTGTTGAAGTAAATGATATTTTGCTGGAAATCATTTTGCATGGTTGGTTTGAAAGTTTGGCGCCAGGTTTTTGAATTAAAAGGGTTGTCTGTCATGTGCAGTTCCCATCCTTTTTTGGAAGTTATTTGAATGATGTTTTAGGTGAAGACAGCCAGTGATTAAGCCACAAAATCTCAGTGAATTTTGTGTTTGTTAAGAGTGGTTCAAATTGTAGTATATTCAAAGATTATTTATACTGGAAAGTAGGTGTAACAGTGATGTATTTGGTTCATATATTACTTTGTTTTGAATGAAAAACGTAGACTGTTTTTTATCAGTTCTTTCTCTTCTGTTTTTGCTCTCTCTCATGCACAAAATAACCTTCTTTCTCTTAGCTTTAGAGCCCTGAAAAACCTACAATTGGTATTAGAGCTGCATTGATCCTTCAGGACCAAAATACTAACTCGAAAAAGCTTCTCCATGGCATCCAGTTTTGCTCCAATCTTTGCTCCAGTTTTCAACGGTGACCAGTACCATGTTTGGGCTGTCAAGATGAAAACATATCTGAGGGGCCATGGCTTGTGGCAATATGTGGAAGAGGAGAAGCAAGTTCCCTACCTTGGACCCAACCCGACGCTGAACCAGATGAGAGTTTATGAAGAAGAAGCAGCCAAAGCTCCAAGAGCATTGTCTTGTATACATTCAACCGTGACAGATCAGGTCTTATCCAGGATCATGGCATGTGAGACACCTAAACAAGCCTGGGACACTCTCAAGGAGGAGTTTGGAGGGAGTAACCAGACAAGAAATATGCAGGTTCTAAACTTGAGAAGAGAATTTGAAGTACTCAAGATGTAGGAGGCAGAATCTATCAAGGAATATGTGGACAGACTCATGGCTATGGTAAACAAAATCAAGCTGCTAGGGGAGGAACTAACCAGAGAGTGGTAGAGAAGGTCCTGGTCAGCTTACCTGAGAGGTTTGAAGCAAAAATTTCATCCCTAGAGGACTCAAAAGATCTATGCCGAATCAGCTTGGCTGAGCTGGTTCATTCACTTCAAGCCCAGGAACAAAGAAGGCAGCTAAGGCAAGAAGACTCAACTGAGACAGCCATGTATGTAGGTCAAAAAGGAAGAGTACAAGGAAGAGAAGACAAGAAATATAGTGGTGAAAAGAAAGGAAAAGAGAAGAGCTACAATCAAGGGGGGAAACGTGGTGGACAAAGATCATTTCCTCCATGTGTGCACTACAAAAAGAAGAACCATCCAGAATATAAGTGTTGGTTCAGACCTGGCATACAATGCAGGTCATGCAAGCAGTATGGACACATAGAAAAAGTGTGTAAAAGTAAAGGAATTCAGCATGAGCAGTAGGTTGTAGTGTTGGAGGTCCAGTAACTAAATCTAGAAGCAGAACATCTCTTCATGGCTTCATGCACAAACCACAACATGTGTGATGATGTATGGCTGATTGATAGTGGTTGTACAAACCACATGACTCCAAATCTATCAAGTTTTGTGAGCATTGATAGGTCTTTCCACTCCAAAGTCAAGATTGGCAATGGAGAATTTGTGGAAGTCAAAGGAAGAGGTAAGGTTGCTGTCCCAACTACATTAGGCACCAAATATATTACAAATGTTCTTTATGTACCCGAAATCAACCAAAGCTTGCTGAGTGTAGGTCAAATGCTAGAAAAGAACTACTCCCTACATTTTCAAAATATGTCTTGAATTGTAGTTGACAACTTAGGGAATGAATTGATGAATGTGAAAATGCTAGGAAAAAGTTTTCCAATTGAATGGAAAAACTCAGCCTTGCATGCCTTGTTTGCAAAATGTGTTGAAACTGAAACTTGGCACAAAAGACTTGGGCATTATCATTATTCAGGTCTTAAGGAAATGAGGAGGAGAGAACTTGTTCAGTGTATGCTCGAAATTGAGGAGAAGGAAGGGGTATGTCAAGTTTGCCAACTGGGAAAAATCAGTAGGCAACCATTTCCAGCAAAACAATCCTAGAGAGCTGCTGAAAAGCTTTAGCTTATACACACAGATATGTGTGGTCCAATGCAGGTGCCCTCTCTGAATGGCAGCAAGTATTTTCTGCTATTTATAGACGATTTCACCAGGCTGTGTTGGGTCTACTTCCTGAAACAAAAAGGTGAGGTGGCTACAATGTTTAAGGGATTTAAGAAAATGGTGGAAAATGAAACTGGTTTGAGTTTGAAAACCATCCGGAGTGACAATGGTTCAGAGTATACCTCAAATCAATTTCAAGAACTGTGTGCAGGGTCTGGAATAAAGCACCAATTGAGCTCCCCTTACACACCACAGCAAAATGGTGTGAGTGAAAGGAAAAATAGAACAGTAATGGAAATGGCAAGATGTATGCTGTTTGAGAAAAAATTGCCCAAATTTTTCTAGGCTGAAGCTGTGAATACAGCAGTCTATCTTCTCAACAGGCTGCCAACTAAAGCCTTGGATAACAAAACACCATTTGAGGCTTGGTATAGAGTAAAGCCAAGCATCAACCACCTCAAAGTGTTTGGAAGCATTTGTTATGCTCACATTCCAGCCAATAAGAGGAGTAAGCTGGATGAGAAGGCTGAAACTGGAATTTTTGTTGGTTATAGCAGCTTATCCAAAGCATATAGGATTTACAATCCTAAGACCAAAAAATTCCTGGTTAACCATGATGTAAAAGTAGATGAAGAAGGGCTGTGGAACTGGGACATAAATGAGATTGAAGGGAGTAATATGCAAGAACAAGAAGGAGACTTAATAGCTACTCAGGATGCTCCAGATTTCAGTTCTGATTCTGAAGCTGATTCTCCAGTCAGGGGAACTAGACCTTTGGCTGAAATTTATGACAAATGCAACTTGGCCTTGATGGAACCATCATGTTATGCTGAAGCAGCCCAAGTTAAAGAGTGGAGAACAACAATGGATGAGGAACTTGACATGATAGAGAAGAATGCAACCTGGGAACTGTTAACCAGACCTATCGGAAGAAAAATCATTAAGGTGAAATGGATTTATAAGAAGAAACTGAATCCTGATGGTTCAGTTAAAAGACACAAGGCAAGGCTTGTAGTGAAGGGTTATGCACAGCAGTTTAAGGTGGACTTTACTGACACTTTCGCACCAGTTGCAAGGCATGACACCATCAGAATTCTACTTGCAACTGCAGCCCATTTCAAGTGGAAAGTCTTCCAAATGGATGTGAAATCTACTTTCTTGAATGGGTGGCTTGATGAAGAGATCTTTGTGGAGCAACCTGAAGGGTATACAGTTGAAGGGCAAGAGGATAAAGTGTATCTCCTTAGGAAGGCTCTTTATGGATTAAAACAGGCTCCTAGGGCCTGGTATAGCATAATTAATAAGTTCTTGATGAGTTTGGGGTTTGAAAGAAGTCCAAATGAGCACACCCTATATGTTAAAGAGGTTGATGATGAAAAGATATTTGTATCCTTGTATGTTGATGACCTTCTAGTGACAGGGACTGACTCCACTAGGCTGCTGGATTTCAAGACAGTGCTGCAAAAGGAATTTGAGATGACTGATTTAGGGGAGATGAGTTTCTTTTGGGAATGGAAGTATGGCAGTCCCCTTATGGGATATTTATCTCCCAAGAGAGGTATGCTAATGAACTACTCAAAAAATTTGCAATGGAGAATTGCAAACCTGTCAACACACCTCTGATGCAAAATGTGAAGCTGTGTAAAAATGATGGTGCTGCTAAGGTTGATGAAACTAAGTACAAAAGCATAGTTGGGTGCTTGTTGTACTTGACTGCAATAAGGCCAGAAATTATGTTTGCAGTGAGTTTACTCTCTAGGTTCATGAATGTAATATCCCATTTGAGGTACGTATTTAAGATTTACTGTATTAGTTAAAAGTTTACTGTTTCAGCTTCAATTGAGTTTGTTTGTTGTCATGGTTAGTTGGTATGTTGAGTTGGTTGAATGGTTGCCTTGAAATTGGTTGAATTTTGGTGAAGTTTGGAAAATCCAATCTTCGCCGGGGCGAAGAAGAAGCTTCGCCGCGGCGAGGAGGAGTTGCACCCACGGGTAGGTTCTGCCCTGTTTCGCCGGGGCGACGTAAAGTGCTTCGCCGTGGCGACGAGCCTAATACAAAGTTTCTTGAGTTTTCTAGAGAATTCTTCTTTTGGGGCACAATCACCATTCTACACCTAATTAGTAGGAAAAGTGGGGAGTAAAATGAAAGGAAATTTAGTAGAGATTGTGTTTGGATGGGGGTGTATTTGTAAAGAAACAAAGGATATAGATGGAATTTCCAAGGAAAGTGCAAGGGAAAAATGGGAAAGGATGTGTATAATAAGAGCTAAAAAGGGTTAAGTGTAGAGAAACCCTTTAGTCCATCCATTCCACCGCCTCTTCCATTTGCCTAAGTTCTCTCATTTTCTCCATCCAATCTTCCAAGATTTCTAAGGGAATTAAGAGGGATTTTGAGTAGAGATTTCATCTAAAGCTTCCTAAGGTAAGGATTCATGCTTTAGATGTGAGTTTTCTTATAATTGTAGTAAAGGCTTATTTGGTTGTTATTGTTCTTGTTGTTTTTTTTTGAGTTGTAGAGAAGAGACAAGACAACAAAGGAAAGGAAAAGTGCTAAAGAAGCCATCTTTTCACAAGGTAAGTAAATCCAACCCAAGTTAAGGTTCAAGCAATCAAATGATGCATATGTATGCTTATGTTTATGAGCTTGAGATTGATTGTTGAGAATGATATTATTGATGAGTTGATGGCTTTTGATGAGAAGATTTGAGCCATGAGAAGTAGAAATGAAGTTGTGGTAACCAAGTGAAGTTTGGTTACATTTAGAAAGAATTTAAGTAGAATATTTGGATTGTTTTTCTTGGCCATGTTTAGATTTATTGTGGGGTAGTTTTACTACATTAATGGATGGTTAAAGAAAGAAGTAAAGATGTACCAAAAATAGAATTAAAGTATGCATGCATTATGTTTGATGAAATGTCTAAGTGAAGTCTGCCCTGTCACTGCCGTGACTTTCTAAGTAATTTTTGGGCCTCTTACGGACTGAACTGGGCTGAGACCAAAACATAGAAGTTAGAGCCCTGTTTCTAAGCTTTAAAACGAGACTAGAACCGTAATAATCCGAGATGTATAACGAAAGTTATGGTCTTTTTAGTGTGACTTGTGCAGAATGACGGTTTTGAGGAAATCTTGTATTTGGCATTTTATTTAGTGCATTAATGAGCATGAGCTAGCTCTACACCTTTGTTTATACACTTAAGAAGTAGCTAGAGATTTAGTAAACAATTTGAGTATAGGTTCTTTAAGAGTTAAGAGAAAGAGAATAGAGTAGGTTGTGCGATAGGGAACCCGTGAGTAATGGGTAGAGTATTCCCGCATGTACGCCGCATTGAGAGAGCGGCATGAGTATGAGATAGAGAAGTGGTGTAACCCGTGAGAGTGCATGCGGATGAGGGCTATACCCGCGTACCCGAGAGAGAGATTATACACTCACATGGCCAAGGGTTCCGAATCCATGCATAACCGAGTCCGATCGGCTAGAATGAGTAGCGGTCACGTAGAGTGGGAGCGAGTCCCGGCCGTGCCCCCGGTAAGATGGGGCCGTGACTTATGAAAGAGTTATTAGAAAAGAGTTCTAAGGGAAAGAGAAAGAGAAAGAGAGAGAAAAGTACCCAAGAGAAATTGAATGAGGAGTTGTAAGGAAAGAATTAGAAAGAGAGAGTTACGGGGATAGATGAGAAGAGGATTTACTTACTGAGCATCATTTTAGTGCTCACCCCGTTGTTTTCCTATGTTTTGCAGGATCCAGGTGAGGACGCAGTCAGATGGACGTCGACACGCGAGGGGAAGCGGTTACACTGTCCACTATGTTTTAATATATTTTGTATACATTATAAGTTTGTGTAAAAATATATATGTTTGTAAAGAATATATATATATTTAATAAAAGAAAAATTTGGGCCCCATTTCCTTATATTATTTTTATGTGTTTTGTTATGATTATTTGAGTAGTAGTGGCTATTACAATGAATGAACCAACTGAGCTGCATTTGCAAGCAGCAAAAAGAGTCCTCAGATACATTAGAGGATGTCCAGACCTGGGAATATGGTTTAAGGAAGCTGAAAATTTCAGTTTGCATGGTTTCACTGACAGTGATTGGGGTGGCTCCTTGGATGACATGAAAAGCACCTCTAGATATGTTTTCTTTGTGAATGCAGGTGCCATAAGCTAGAATTCAAAAAAGCAAGAGGTGGTAGCACAATCCACTGCTGAAGCTGAATATGTAGTTGCTGCTGCTGCAGTCAACTAGTTGGTTTGGCTGAGAAAGATCTTGAAAGACTTAAGGCTGGATCAGACTCAAG